GCCCTTTTCTCAGAGAAGGGACAGAGCGTTTTGGAATAAAGGCAAATTATGTGAAAAATAATGCGTTTTTTTTTTTAAACGAAGCATTAACCCATTAGACTGCACCCCATAAACACAATCAAGCCTAGAAAAAAAACAGTGAACCACCCCTTTAAGAAAGTGCATATGAACTCATTCATTCACTCAGAAAGCCTAAAACTGCATAGAGGTGCTCTCCCATGACTGTGAACATGTCATAGAGCCTTGAAAACCGAGAAAGTTTTTGAAACAACAATGCACCCAAAAATCACGTCAGCCTCATGTTGTTTCAAACCTGTATGACTTTCATTCTTCCATAGAACACAAAAGAAGGCAAAATGACAGACTCGGTCATTCATTCACCTGTATCAAGGTACCTCAGCAGTACCTTTTTAAAAAAGAATGTCTTAGGAAGGATCTGAATGCATCATTCCCTTTTTTTTTTTTTTTTTTTGTAAAGGTACAATGAAACCGAGCAGTGACTTAGGCTGTCAGTCACTAACATTATGCCCAACGTATTCTATTGTGTCCCATGGAATAAAGAAAGTCATACAGGTTTGGAACAACATGAGGTGATTCATTTCTGGGTGGACTATCTCTTTAAAAACTGAATGATGTCCTATAATGATGGAACACAATATATAACGTCCTTTATAAGAACTGTGGGCCGTGAATAATATAATAGCTAAATCTATTAGAGATCTAGACATTGTCAAAGATCACAGTCCAATAGTGTCTCTCCTCTACTCTCCAGTAATCAAATTTTCTTTGAATTTTCTTTCATGGTCCAAGCTCTTTCAACATTCCCTTTACCATTTAAAAAATTGGACTTGGAGAAATGTATATCTATATTCTTTGGCTGTCCTAATAACATTGCACTGTGACTAATTGCAGTTTTATTTGATTGCATTGATGTATTCAGTTGTGCTGCGCCTATAGCACCCGGTGGGCCCTCAGAGAACTCCGTTGTTGTTTTGATTATAGCATTATATACACATACACAATGCCAGTAGTATTTTCATACACAGGTTAGGGACATTGAGCTTCATATTATGTTGGAAAAATACCAAATTTTGCACCTCACTATAAAACGGGTAGACGTTTAAAAAGTGTTCAAATAATAAAATAATAAAAGAAAATTTCATACAAAAAAGAGAGAGAGAGAAAATTAAATCACTTTGGGAAGAAGTGTTTACTTAATAGATGTGTATTCTAAATGAGAAATAAACAGCCTGAAATCTAAAAACACAGATTGCAAGAAGAAATTCAGCTCAAAACAAAATCAAGCTACAATAATTTGCATATCTGAAGCTACACATCTGTTAAGTACCTGCTCCACCACCTATATTCCATTTTTTCCCCGTAACATCAGATTTTTATAAATGGGGACAAATGCTGAAATGTGCTAGAAATTAATCATCAACACACACATTCCCAGGGCTGCAGAGGAACACGCTACCCTGCTGCAGCAAAATGTAGATGCAACAAGCTGTTTAATTTATAAACGTAAAACTCAAATCTGCAGCAAGAACAAAGTGCCAGCTCAGTGCAGGTACAGAATGTACCATCATGACTACAAACCCCAGCAGGATAATTAATAAACCAATACAGCATACTAAACCCTGCACATCTCCAAGTCTCCACATTACGGTTCTTCTGCCATCTTGTGGACAGTAAAGTGGAGAGCATATGAATGCAGCCGTGAGCAATTGAGCATTTTTCTCTGTCTTTGAGATTCTTTACAGCAGAATTTGGATTTGCCTGTTGAATCAATGATTCTGTTATTTTTTACTGTTCATTACTGAAGCTGCTTTATTGTATAAAGCGCTATATAAATAAAGGTGAGAGCATCCTGCAAAAGTGTATGATGTGCATGCAGAGTAAAAGAAACATGTAAGACGCATGGGTTCAGTAAGCTCAGTATAATAAAATGGCACAAACATTACATAACTGTAATACACATTCTTCAGTTCAGGGTTACAGTCTATCCCTGTAGAATATCATTGACCCCGAATAAGGGCACAGCTTTGATATCCACTTAAATTATAAACCAAATTATTGAGATATGAAGTAAAAAGTAAAATACAGTGTAAAATGCAGGAAATAATAAAAACAGTAGTTTTCTTCTCATTTTAAAAGACAGCTCTTAAGGAAGTATTTTCTGAATGTCAATACTGTTTCTTTAAAGGCACAATAAAGCCCACTATTATACAACAGAACTGCTCTCTAATAAGATAATACAGGATTGTTAGATTCAGAGTTAAACAAAAAGGATTATTAGAAAGCAATAACATGACTAGCTAAGTGAACACGGCCTAGAGAAACAAATTCAAGACTATAAAGACATTTCAAGGCACATCCTGGTTAGCTGTGCATTGAGACGTATACACTATTATTTCAAGATTTCTTTTTTGTTTACTTTTTGCCAGTTAAAAAAGGAAAGACTGAATTGTTCCATTGAAAAATGCACATTCAGAAGCTGAATCGTATGTAAAAAAAAAAAAAAAAGGTTCATGTGGCCTTACTCTTGAGCTGGAAGATCTTTCTCTGTTATTGGAGTTTAGACCTGTATATCACATTAATCACAAAACATACCACCGATTAGATAAGCCTGTAAAAAATCTCAGTTATCCTGGTCACTGTTGAATGCCTAGTAGAGATTCTTATGTTCTACCTGTATATCAGAGCAAAATTTTCTCCACTCGGCACCCCTTAGAAATGACTTGAATAATCTACAAGAGACAGAACATTCAAATACAGTGGTGGATATAGTAATACGATTGAATAGGTAACTAATTGCTATTGTTTTAATGGCGAGATGAAGCATTAATATGGTGTATTAATATGTGCTGTTGTATTTTAAGTTAAAGAACCAACATTAACATTGACCATTGTATTACTTCAGACTTATAAAGTGACCCAATCTTGCAGTTTGAGAGCAGTATCTTGGAAAGTTTTTTTCAGTTTGAAGCACAGAATGAGGAATTGCACTAAAGCATGTTCAGATGGAGCTTGTGATTGAAGGGCCATGGATCAAAATCAGTTTATGGAGGTATTGTGATAGAAAGTAAAGGCAATTGCATCTTTCCTGAAGGATATATTGAACTAATGCACTTAAGTGTATATGCGTCTATCACAGGTTTTCTCCAGGCTGGTACTGGGGTTCAGTAGCAGTAAAGTAGTCCTCCAGGAAGCTCTGCAGGTACTCAAAGGTGTGCCTCTCGTCAGGATCCTTCCGCCAGCACTGCAGCATCAACTCATGCAGAGATGCCGGGCAGCCCTGCGGACACGGCATTCGATATCCACGCTCCACCTGCTCCAGAACCTCTCTGTTGTTCATCCCTACACAAATTCATACATACAGAAACTAAAATAAACATATTTGTGCAGCAACAGGTGATCCACATGAATAGGGGGAAAAAAACATAAATAAACCAATTCAACAAATGAAAGTGCTTTCAAACAATGTGCTTAACCTTCAGAAAATGTTGACTGTCACTCTCTATAGGTCGAACTAAATATTCATATTTTATTTTTGATTTTTATCTTGTTAACAAAATGCAGAACATCAAAACAGTTTGAAATTAGTTTATTTTTTATTAAAAACACTTAAAATGCTAATGTTTTTATGTAAACTATAAAAATAAAATTTTAAAATAAAAAGTTTATATCTGTATTAGGGCTGTGCAAAAAAAATCGAATGCGATTGTCATGCGCATGCTGCTCCATCTGAAAGCACGTGATGAAGATTTACTACTAATCACAGATTTTTTGCACAGCCCTAATCTGTATACAAGAGAAAGGAGCAAACAGACAGTGTGTATAAAAGTGTAGCCATAGTGGTTCAGTGAAGACACACCTGGGTAAGGCACTCTGCCCTTGGTGATGAGCTCAGTCAACAGGATACCAAAAGACCACACATCTGATTTGATGGTAAATTTACCATAAAGAGCAGCCTCTGGGGCAGTCCACTTTATCGGAAACTTTGCTCCTATAATACGAGAATCAAGACAATCGGTTCAGCACATTGAATCATGATTTATGAAAACTACAGATCAAATAGAAAGTATAGCAGTCCAAAATAGAGTAATGAAAGATGAAAATTGTAGTGCAGTAAAATGAATATTAGAACAAAATGAGCTGGAATGAAATCGAGTAGAGGCCAAGGAAGAGATAAATAACGTTTGATAGTATCAAATAAAGGAGGAAACTCTGGCAGATTGTAGAAATATGCTGAGTAGATTAAGATCAAGTTTGGGTCATAGATTGTGAATGACCTTGTCTAGCTGTGTACTCATTGTCCTCGATAAGTCTAGCCAGCCCAAAGTCTGCAATCTTACAGACCAGACCGTCTCCAACCAGGATATTGGCAGCTCGCAGGTCTCTGTGGATGTAGTTCATCCGCTCAATATAGGCCATGCCTGCAGCAATCTAGAAGAAATAAAAGCACTTTCATCACCATACTTAAAAAGGGAGATTGATAGTAGTTTTAATAAAGACATGCTCTCAAGATGCTTCTAAGAGCTTATCTGAAGGATTGGCACATTTGTTTGAGGCATCTTATGTCTTCTATGGTTTGAAGGTTTTAGAGTGATTGACCCTGTGCAGAATGTCTATGGTACATGGTTCTCTTATAACCAGTTGTGTACATTTCATGCTAATATAAATCCTACAGGCTGAATCCTTAATCGATTCAGGATCTGAATATCTACGGCCTTGATTATGATATATTACAAGATTAATTTGTTCAGGAATTGTTCTAAATAAGAAATGGTTCTTGGTTCCAACCTTAACCATGTGACAACACTTCTGAAGGACTGTCTCAGTAATGGATAATACATTTTTGCTAGATATTTGTTGACTGAGGAGCCTTACCTGGGCTGCCATATCCACAAGTTGAGGCAATTTTAGATTTCTGCCATCTCCATCTTTCAAGAAGTCCAACAAGCTTCCTAAATCACAAAAGCATCAAGGAAAAAATGTACATATACCTTTATATAAAATTAATTAATTAATTTAAATTATTTTGTAATATTTATATAATACAGAAACATACATTATCATTAAAAAATTTGGGGTCAGTAAATTTTTTAAATACTTTTATTCTGTATTAAATTGATCAAAAGTGACAGTAAAGACAATTCCGTTTCGAATAAATGCTGTTCTTCTGAACTTTCTATTAATCAAAGAACCCTGAAAAAATGTATCACAGTTCCCACAAAAATATTAAGCATCCAAAACTGTTTTCAACATGGATAACAATAAGAAATGTATCTTCAATCGCAAATCAGCATATTAGAATGATTTCTGAAGGATCATGTGACACTGAAGACTGGAGTAATGACTGCTAAAAATTCAGCTTTGCCATCACAGAAATAAATTACATTTTAAATTACATTCAAATAGTTATTTTAAATTGAAATAATATTTCACAAAATTACTGTTTTCGCTGTATTTTTGATCAAGTAAATGCAGCCTTGATAAGCATAAGAGACTTCTTTCAAAAACATTAAAACATTTTACCAACCACAAACCTTTGAATGCTAATGCATATAAACATTTTGGCTTTGTATTCACTCAGATGACATTCTTATGACTGTCCATACCTTGACTCATGAACTCAGTGATGATGTAGATGGGCTCCTCAGACACCACAGCATACAGCTGTACCAGTTTGTCATGACGGAGCCTCTTCATGATCTGGGCCTCATCCAGGAAGGCCTCTGGAGACATGGTGCCTGGCTTCAGGGTCTTCACTGCAACTTTAGTTGTGCCATTCCACATGCCTACATATTGAAATAGTGTCAGACACAGCTGGAAGAGCTATTTAAACATGGCAATGGACGAAAGGGACGTTTAAGGGACGAAAGAATGGGATAAAGAGAAACAGATGGAATATGGCCACACACCAAAGCAACAGGAAGCTGGGATTGCTGCAGACAACACAACACTCAGCTCCTGTGAAAGAGCTGAACTTTTTTTTTTTTTTTTTTCGAAAGTGCTGTTGCATTTTTAATATCACAATGAACATTGACACATTGCTAAAATGCTATTGAGGTTTGGCTGACGTTGCACTATATTGGGGATTAGCTGACAGTTCAGAACCATAGACTGATGCTTGGCAAAGCAGGGTCAATCACAGCATTTTGAATGTTCAGCATTGTGAACGGCCCACAAACCTTTTCATATTCTCTTGTCATTATGACTGCATTGACCAAATTTTAGAAAACATATTGATTGAAACAGACATAGGAAAACATGCTAAAGTGGCGAAGAAAGCCAGTGCGCCTTTGGAAACACTGGCTGTAGCATTAGCAAATGCAGACATGGAGATCAACACTGGGTATCGTCGTATCCCTCTCACCCATCCAGACGTCGCCAAAACAACCCTGACCCAACTTCCTGTTGAGCTGCAATGTTTCCCGGGCGATCTCCCAGGCGTCCCGCCCTAAACCCATAGTTTGGGGCGTGGCATTTGGACAGGCTTTAGTCAAGTAGCAACATAAACCATCATTACTACCTGTTGAGGGTGTTGAAAGAGAGAAAGAGGGAGGGGGGATGGAAAAGGAGGGAAACAGGGTGGCATGCAATGTTAGAAGGACCAGAGGGAGAGAACAAAAACAGCACAGCCTTTACATTATATCCCTGACCTCCAATCTTTCATCTTCAGCGCCTTGCAAAATAGTTTGGACCTCTTTTCGCAGTTTACTACAATGGAAGTCTTCTAAAATATTTTATTGTAAAATTTAAAGATTTTTTTCAACAGAAATAAACACAGGATAATTGCCTTATAATGAGAGAATCATTTAGAGAGAGATATTTCACCAAAAATGAAAAGAACATCTGTTTTTCCCTAAAATTCTAGGGGTGGGCGATATACTGGTAGACACGATTAACCAGTAGAAATTTGTCAACCTGAAGAGATTTTGGACTATCATCTCTGCTGCTTTACACACTCAAGTGATGTTGCTGTGCTACGTGGTCATAAAAACTTATCGTTTGCATGTAATTGATGTTAAAAAAACAAGTGATTTTAAGCCGTTAAAACACAAACAGCAGCGGGAGAACTCATTTTGCTATATGCGCACGCTGTATGAAAGACAAAAGAAAGAAAACACGTGTAACACAGTATATTGGATCCAGGCAGCTCTTAAAGTGACAGCAGTCTGATATTCCTGTCTGTCATTCATGTTAATCAAACAACAAAAGGGAGAAAATCTCTCACTGCTCTTGACTAAATCACTTTTGTAACTTTAATAAGAAGAAATATATTTAATTTATACAGTGAAGAATATGCAGTGTTTTTATGCATTTGATTACTTTATACAATGTGTGTAGCATTTCTTACTTATTTGTTCTACTGTAGTTTTTTTGTCCAATTGCTTGTAATTAGTTTTTTATTCTTACATAATCGCTGACTGTTTACTTGTCTTCAGCGAGCTTGAGTTAGTTTTTCTTAAATTTAGGATAGTATTAGTTCTTTTGTGATATTGACACTGGTGACAAGAATTATGAAATTGCTATGGTATCAAAGATTTTGATATCATAAAGACCTTATTTAAAGCAAAAATAACTATATTGTGATATATACCATTACCGTGAAATCAAATGACTCATATCGTGATATAAGATTTTGGTCATATTGCCCACCCCTTCAACATTCTTTAAAATATCTTTTGTGTTTCGCAGGAGAAATAAAGTCAATCATGTTACGACATGAGAGCAACGATGTAAACGATGACAGAATTGTAATTTTTGGATGAACTAGTTATGAAGGTGTAATGTCAGTCTTATGCACACCCCTTCAAGTAAAGTGTTACCACTAGCTCTTTAAAAAATGTAATATAATTGCAAGGCTCTGTACCACAGGCAGGATGGGCAAGGCGTGCGAGTTTTGTTCCCTCCTTCCCATGCTTTTAGTGGTTCCTACCCATCCACACTTCACCAAACTGGCCATTGCCCAGTTTCTTAATGAGCTGAAGTGACTCCCTGGGAATCTCCCAAACATCCTTAGTCTTCACTGACAGGTCAGCCAGCTTAGGCATGCCCCGCCTACAGCTGCCGATCAAACGGCAGCACAGCCCTGCTGCACGCTCTAAAGAACAGAGTACGGAGAAAAGAAAGACACAGATAGATACGAGAGGAGACAGAGATGCAAAGAAGACACAAACAGCAGGCTATATAAAACAAACATTTATAAATACACAAAATGCTGTCCAAATCAGATTAAAGCAGCACTCACAAGCACACATATGCATGAAAAACCTGAATGATACATGTTCACTCAGCAGAGGGCGACAGAGATCACTGACAGTCAGTGGCTGTAGCAGCATGTCAGACTGTTGCTGGGTTGAGTTATGCTAAAGGTGTTAAATCATGTAAAGTATTATTTTATAGTATAGCAATTATAATTCTATGAAATATAATAATAATAATTATTATTGTAGTATAAAGACCAGATGGATTCATCAGCTCATATCAACACTTATTGTGTTAACATCAATTTGTGATAGTGTTTTTACTGTCTACTACTGTTTGAAAGAAGCCTGTTATGCTCGCCAAGGCTGCATTTATTTGGTCACAAATACAGTAAAATTGTGAAATATTATTATAATTTAATATACGTTTTTTATTTGAATATATTTTAAAATCAAATTTATTCTTGTGATGGCAAGGCTGAATTTTCAGAATCATTACTCCAGTCTTCAGCGCCACATGATCCTTCAGAAATTCGAATATGATGATTTGGTCCTCAAGCAACAGTTGTGCTGCCTAATATCTTTATGGAAATCATGATATATTTTTCAGTATTATTGGATGAACAGAAATGTCAAAAGAACAGCATTTAATTGAAATGGAAATATTTTGAAACATCATAAATGTCTTTACTGTCACTTTTATTTAATTCAGTGTGTCTTACCGATCACAAACTTTTGAACGGTAGTGTACATCAGTGTATGCTAGTGTTCAGTCTAACTTATTAGTTAGGGATCAGCACTACTCCAGTTCATTTCAATTAAAGCAGCAGATTGGTAAAAATTTAGATTAGTACATTTCAATATGTAGAGTAGAAACTAAGGGAAAATTGTTTAGCACTTAAAACTGAAAGTAACTGTTCTGTGGTAATGGTTTGCCCCATATTTGGGGTGGTAGGTGGCCCAACTTTAGTTTTACAGTTGAAGTGGTCTATCTGAGAAGAACCTCTGTATTCATGAGAGTATATGTGCATGTGGGTGTGTGTGAGTGACTAGATTCAACAATAACAGTGAAACAGGAAGGCTGATAGCGCCAGACTGACAGGCTGAGTAGGGGCATCACTAACAGAACTGATACAAATTATGCACTCAGCCGAAGCAGAGAAGTCATTTGGGCAACAAAAGAGGAAATGAAGATGGGCAAAGATAAACTGACCTGCTGATAACTTTATTCGCAGTAAATACCAACACGCCACATACAGAGCCACTAAACAATGCTTCCTTCTGAGGAAATTCTTTAATATAGACAAAATCTATATATAAAAAAAAAAACTTTGAAAAGTACTGTCATGCATTTTGAAATCACAGTATGTTAAGGGTGAGGTGTACATGTATTGCACTGACCTGTATAATGCTCCACCAGCTCCTGGACAGTATCAAACTGTGTCCTTGTTGTGATGTAATAACCGCCATTGTCCAACTTCCTAATTTTATAGTGCTTGACATGATCGCCCTTCGCATCATCCCAGTCTCTGATCGACAAAGAGTATGCTCCTAAAGAGGGGGCGAAAAGATGCTCTCAAATTTGTTGGCGAGAAGAAATCAATGGATTTAAAACCATTTTTATTAATAAAAAAATATTAGAAAGAATTAACCAATTTCTTTTCAGTCAGCAATAAACAACTGCACTGGCATTTAGGTATTGTTGTGTCATTTTGTTTGAACTTCTCGTTCTGGGCTTCTATTGAAATAAACTGCATTACAGAACCTCCATTATTCTACAGTATTGACCACCATTATTGTGCTGATATTTCTCAAGCTTTTTTTGCATGTTTCCTATCGCTGTACTTTCTGAATGGCACTGTAAGAGAAATTATGTAAACTAAATGTTTTTCTATGCACTAATAGTAGGCTATAAATGTTAATTCAAAGGATTATTTAAATATATTTAACACAGTTCATTTTAAAACACTGCTGACACTTTCATTTACTGTTCAAAAGTTGGGGTCGGCAACAGCAATATTGTGAAATATTATTAGAATTTAATATAGCTGTTTATTATTTAAATATATTTTTTATTATTAATTATATTAATATATAAATTATTTTCTGATGAGTTCTTTTAATATTTTTAATTGTTTTTAGCTTTATTTTTTTGTTTTAATTTAAATGTTTAATTTTGAAATGTTGTTGTATGCATTTGTCATTTTTCTTTAATTTATTTTATTTTCTGATGAATATAAAGTTCAAAAGAACAGCATTTATTTGAAATAGAAACCATTTGTAACAGAGTAAAAAGTCTGTACTGTTACTTTTGATCAATTTAATACATCCTTGCTGAACAAAAGCATTCATTCAAATTTTTTTTACTAACCCCAAGCTTTTGAATGGTAGCATTTATGCACATATATTTCCCATTTACACAAACTGCTGAAACCAATAATTGCACAATTTTTTTTCTTTCCTTAAAAAAATGAATGTGTTACCATGTTAGCTACAAAAAAAAAAAAGAGATTAATCACAATACTACATAACATCACATATATGTCTCTCTACTGAATGCAAAATGTAAATATAAACACTGATAAATTAACTTTAAAAATGTTAAGTTTTAATTACTTTTTCTTATTTGTAAGTCGCTTTGGATAAAAGCGTCTGCTAAATGATTAAAAGTAAAAGTAAAAGTAAAATCATTTACCTTTTGTTGTCTCGCTTTCTCGTATTAAGAATGTCCCTCTAGGATTGTTCTGCGCTAACAACTGTCGTTCTGCATCCTTCCGGCCCATCTTCCCAAAATACCACCTGCGTGGACAAACACCAATAATGTACTTTAAAGCTTGCATATAAATGTCATTATAAATTCCTGAAATAGCATGTTCACATGTAACTCACTCCTCAGCTTGTATGGAGTCCACAGGGGCCACATAGTTACTAGGAATGTACCCAGACTTCCCTGTGTCCAGAGAACGAGCCTCCCACCAGTCGCCCTCGCTGTGGAGGGACAGGGGACAGAGAAAGAAATAACAAAAAGTGGTACAAACAGACGAGAAGAAAGGAAATGAGACAGAAAGAGAGACAATGGGAACAACAGAGAGAGAAGCAAGGCAAAAAAGGAAGAAATGTCTGGTATTTGTGGTTTTAAAAGACTGTGTGAATCTTATTCTAACTGTCCTGCTTTGAACTCACGTATTGTTGATAATATGGAACTTTTCTCCTTTCTGGAAGCTCAGGTCATCCTCTGTACGTGCATCATAGTCATAAAGGGCTATAAAGAGCGTTACACCGCCTCCTGAACAAACACACAACATAATTGGTTTAAGGGAAGTAACGCTGTTATCTACTCTGTCATGATACAACACGGAAAATCACACCTCAACAGACACTTTTACACACCTGTGATGGGGGCTGGGCGGGACGAGTTGAAATTGGATGAGGGAGCAGGGTTGGAAAAATCATTAAAGTTGGGGATAATCCCAGAATTAAAAGTGGGATCTGCGATGTAACGGGAGGGTTCTAATGCCTGGGTCCCATTGCCTGTGTCACACGAGTTGGGACTCGACACAGCTTTACTGGCCTTCCTCTGCTTACAGCAAGCACAGCCCATAATATTCAATATTTTTAAAGCACACAGCTCATCACCCTGGAAACAGAGCTTCTTCCCATAGAAACAAGATACAGAAGAATTAATTAGATACAGTATTATTTAGTAGGTTACTTGATATTTAATGCAATAACATTGGTTTTAAGGTGTGACTTAAAGGGTTAGTTCACCCAAAAATGAAAATTAGCCTTTGCCCTCGAGGGATCCTAGATGTATATGACTTTCTTCTTTCAGACGAATCCGATCAGAGTTAAATTAAAAATTGTCCTGGCCCCTCCAAGCGTTATCATTTCAGTGGGTGGGTGTTTCTGTTGAACAGTGCACAAGACGTCAAATAAAGCGCGCAATCCGTAATAAAACGTGCCTCACACGGCTCCGGGGCATGAATTTAATTTAAATAAGCATTAAACCTTTATTACTATTGTAATAGTGTAATAATTTACTGTAAAATAAAAAACTGAATATTTTATAATAATTTCTGTAATAGCTGTAAAATTTAAATACTAATATTTTAGTCTTAATTTCTGAGCTTTCAAATATTCTTTTAAACCATCAAGCTTTTATTTCAGTGGAAAACCACAGGGAGACCTTAAAACTTCTCTTTTGCAGACAATAGCCGGTTTATAAGCATTTCTCACACAAAGTTTAGGAAGATGGTTGGTGCATGTTGTATTGTGCTAAAAGCATGCTATCCACCTTATTTTTCAATGCAGAAGTAAGCTGTTTTCTGTAAATGTGCAAGACTTCCGGGTCATTAGCCGCCGTAGAGAAATAACGAGAAGAATAACAAAGTGCAGTAAACAGTAAAACTGTTTGCACTACAAATCAGTGAGTTCATAGTTAAGACAATACATTAAATTAATAAGGTAAGACACACCAGTTTGCAATATCAAACAGCAAAACAAGCTGTTTTGTACAGCTGAAAATAGCTGGAAGCAGATGACACCAGAAGCCAGACACATTACATTTACAAATGGCGTGTAAAACAACACAGTGCTGTGCTACACTGTAAAACACACAGCACATGTATTTATTTCATTTGTGTTTAATTAACCACACTAAGTCATATCACCATTTAATCTTTATTTTGAATCGTGAAGCCCTAGCTTGAGTGTTCAAATTGATTTTGGGGTCTCTGAATGGTGATGATGTTTATGTTATGACATGACATGGGTTTGTCAATGTTGAGAAGGTTTTCTACTATGTTTCTCGCAGTGGTCGGTATGTAAATGTAATGAATGAACTGTGGGAGCGTAAGGTTGATGTAATCAGATTCGGCTCTCACCAGATCCGCACATCAGCTTTCCATACACACCATCTTCCTGGGGAGAAAGAGAAAGATGGAGAGAGCAAGAAAAAGAAAAACACAATGCATTTATATAAGTAACAGACAGTAAGAAAGTGAAATGACTTTATATTTTGTAACAAAACTTTTTAGCGTTACTTCCTTTTTCTTTCCTGTCTAGAGAAAGGGAAGTTCTCGGTTAAAATTCCCCTTGAAAATGTACGTGTGTGCACAATGTCCACTCTTTCGCTGTATAAAGCTATGTCCTGTATTTCTATCTGACTGACCATCAGTGGATCAACAGGATGCCAGTTTTGAGAGCGTTTCCTGTCCGGCCTACTAAAGCCTCCCCCTCATTTCCTGCTGAGAGGGGAGAGGGTCCAGCTGCAATGGGCAACACATTAACAACACATACAGCTCCACCCCTCGAACAATCTGTCCAATCTATGCTTTTCTCTCTGCCTCATGAAAATATTCCAAACTTACTCTAAGATACACATAAACATCCCATCAGAAGATATCACAACGCAGACACACACACGCTTGCAAACTTGACAAAGACGTCACGCTTACCAAATCAACAATCATCACAAGCTTTTCTTTTCAATAGGTGTGTATCATTTTTGCTGGAGAAAACAATACCGAACTGTTCACCACCCATGCTTATTGTTTCCATTTTTATCATGTCTCTTCAAGAATTTCCCATGATTCCACAAGCCTGTTATCCTATTCATATCTTCAGCCTGTCTATATGCAGAATTACAATTAATAAATTATAAGTGATGATAAAGAACACATCAAATAAAAACAACGGCTTGTGCTCTTATCTTATTTTCTGTTCAGATAATCACATGTAATTCAATCTGCACTGATGCAATAGTCTAGAAACAGAAAAAGTGAGTACTGAAAAAGTCCTGACCACTTTTTAAATTCAATGTTTGTTAGAAACGACTGAACAAATAATGGTTTGATTAAACAGCTGACCACAAAAAAGAATAGTTGTTGACACAAGTGAATAAAAGCAAATGAGTACATGTTTAAGTAATGAAAAGCAGCTCCTGTTTATAGAGTTTTCTTTAGGTTTTGAGAACTGGAAATACAGGGAGAGCAGGCTGGGTGAGAGAAACGAGGAAAGTTTCAGAGACTGCATCAAGTGCAGAAAAAAAATCATAACATGCTAAACGTATCAATTTTGCCAAGTCAAGCTTAAAAACACTTTTTGATTGGCTTCTATACTTATAAGCCAAATAAAATATAGAGATGCACTTCATGGTGAACACTTCCATCTTTTACTCCTTTTTAGATTTGTCTACGGTCTCTTTAATATGACAAAAGGACTCAGAGGAAAATTGCTCAAAGTTGTCTCTTTCAGAGATCAGGGCCCATATTCTTAAAGATTCTAAGAATCCTCTCAGAGAGCCCCTAATTTAGCTTACTCAAATTAATCAAAATGGATTTATAGCGTTTTGGAACCAAACTCTTCATATTCTTTATTTTTTATTTACCATGCTGTCATACTCAACGTATTTTAAAGGAAATGAACAGCGACACAATAAGGTTCTGAAAGTGCTGTAATTGTTTGTGTGATCACTTTGCTTATAGAAGGTTGTGACAGACCCCAATCATCACTTCATCATCATCACTGCTGCATAGCTGCATTTTTCCAGTTGCCAAATATGTTAATGTAGTACGTGTCATGGATTTATTGCATTTTGGGGAGGAAAAAATACAATTTTATAATAAATCTTTGAAAATCAAAATCTGGATTTGAATTTTTTACGTTATTATAACCTAAAGATGCCATGTGAAGTTTAAAACAGAAAATAGTGGGCACGATCTAATGTGTAGCGTCTTATTAACTCACTGTCATGCATTGCAACACATTTCTTCTCCCTCTTCATGTTTTGTCAATTTTCTCCACTTCCAAAAAAACTCTTAAGCCTCTTAAAAGTCCTCGTCCGTACTCCTAACAATTTTGGACCTTAAGACCTCTTTTAAGGGTTAAGATGCTTTCTGAATTACTTTTTTCTTTACTAGGATATTTTCTTTAATTATAAGAGGAAACACCCACATTTCTAAGAATGTTCTTAGAATTTTGTTACTAGGAGCAACTCTTAGCACTAAGATTTTTCATGAATACAGGCCCAGGAGACTTAATGAAGTTCTAAGTTGTCTTTTATTTAAGTGTCAACGTGGTCTCTGCTAAAATTCACAAATGAAAATAGACAAAATGTTGTTGACATTCAGTATGAGCATAGAGCTATGAAATCAATGTGGGTCGCAGCTTAGGTCATTTGAAGTAATTAAAGAAATGTTTGAATTTATATTAAAATCTCCAACGTTTAGGCTTATATTTGGTTCCGATGCTATCTTCGAACCAGAGTTCAATTACACCCCTCTCATCTGTTTCTACATTTCACTTTTTTGACTGAATTATGGTACATTTGCACCATCTTAGAAAATTTTTGCAATTGTACCTTTAGGGGTACAACCAGGGCAGTACCCTCCAAGGGATATCTTTGAATCTTATGTACCCCTAAAAGGTTCAAAGAAGTACCTAAGGGTATAATACCACTCTAAAGGTACTAATATTCAAATTTTAGGGTCAGATAAAGTACAGAATTGTACAGACAAGTCGTTGTACCCCTAAATGTACAATTTCATCACATTAGCAGTAACTGTTTACCACAGTAGCTAGGTAAAGGTTTAAGAGAAACTATTATTGAAGCATTTCCCTCTTTACCACCACACCACAGACAGAATGGCACTTGAGCTTATCTGCCGCAGGTGCATAACAACAGATGCGAGGAATGCGATATGCTCTCCAAGGGCCGAGACAAGCAGCCATGAGAAATGCACAATAATAAATTGCAAATTATGTGTCATCAATAGGTTCCACAAGTCAGATTGGTTTCATTCCAATTGGAAACTGCACTATAGGTCACATGAACCATTTCTTGCTTTGATAATCACTTTTTTAACTAACTGAATTTTGAAATCAAATAGACATGTGTCCGCAACAAAAGCTCTAGTATGAAGCTGGCCTTCATTGTTAATTTTGGTATGTTCTGAGCTCAGATGCTGTTGAGATCTGTCCTAAATATTATCAGAGACGTATTAGATTACTGGGGTCTTTTTCTCAGGAGAAATATCTGAGATGCAGGAGACTTTAGCAAAAGTCTCAATTTACTCTCTGTTTGATCTCAGTGCTGTTTAGGAGAAACAATCGAGATTAAAAAAAAGAGGAAGCCAAATGACACATCTCTTCTCCTGTTGTACTATTCACTCTTTTCGATGGAAGCCATTTTAACAGAAGAGAAGAGACGAGTCTACTTCCAGCGTTTAAATATATTCTAGATCAGCGGACACAGACACCACACTTTTTTCTAAAAGTGGTTTGACACGTGTACACATGCGTTAGCACCATCAGTAACACGTCAACTAAAAAAATGTAATGTAGTGACAAAGTCTTGTTATCCAACAACAAAAAAACGCATTGGTACAGTTGAAAACGAGGACCTTTAAACCCTTTTAAAAGTCTTTTAAACACACTACAGTCCAAAATCCATAATCATCAAAAGTTATTTTAGGTAAGTAGATGAAAAAATATATAACTACAGAATAAACTACACAAAGAAATTAAGATGACTGATCAAACAATAAGGGTCTAAGTTGTTTTATGAAAACGTAATGTAAAAGCACCCAGGGCTGCACACTGGCAAACTCAATATGTATCAAAATGTCAGAGCCCTCTCACATTCTCACCAACCGTAGCATTTACAGCTGTGTCGATAAGAGGAAGTTGCATTTGAGGGTTTGAGGGCTTACCAACAGCAAATGCAGAAGACCATCTAGTTTGTCACCAGAGCAAAGCCCGTAATCAGAAAACAACTGAAACAAACCTTGTGAGCATGTATTCAGGTCATGTGATAAGTGTTGTATGCACCTTTCTGAATTCTAGATAGAGCGAGATGCTTCACCTACAGGCCGATAGATTACTACGAATATACCTGCATGGGTAAGTGGAAGGAAGACGGTGAGAAACTGCGGCTGGACAAAGATGTTCAGTAATAATGGAGGCTACTGTAAATGATGAAATTCATCAGTTTTAACCCCCTCGCACTGACACCTTACAACATACTGGAAGAAACTTCAGTCACAAACACTTGGACATACCTTTCCTGTGAAGTTTTCAGTGGACAAGATAACACTTGATTAATTTCTTATCAAAGAAAAAAAAAAAAAAGTCAAACAAAAATGCTGAAATGTATGTGTTACTGCTGGACTAATGCATATTATATCAGTAATACATCAGTTAACAGCTGATATTGCAAATTATTATTAATTTATTCATATCAGTTGATATTGGATGTTTAACTGAACGTTCGTTTCCTCTATTTTTACATTTAGATAACTTTTGCCATTAAACACAACCTTAAACTTAATCATTACACTAATAATTTAATAACAGCGTTAAACTTAATCTTTTGCAGATTTAAAAATGAATGTCCAGTTTTCATACTGTACATTATAAACATTGTAATGTCTGAATTCACTTGTAGCATTTTAAATGATTTTCAGTGTTTTGCACTCAATTTATTAAGACGATATAGCAGAGTATTTTATTATCGATCCTTCTAATGTTTGTAATATATAAAATAATTACTGGCATACTGGAAAAACTTTTTTTTATTAAATTCTTTGCTATAAAACATGCTGTAACAGCATTGTGTACATCTTCACAGCTTTTTTGAGTCCTCATTTTTCTCAGAATTGCCTCTAAGCAAAAACAGATAGGCTACTTAACTAATGCTAGACCAACTTTCACATGCAACCAAAACATGTCATACAAAAATGTGGCAAAATACAAACACATGCATAAACTATACATATACTGTACATACAATTCGGTACAATTCGGTTTTATTCTGAAAAGAATGACCACTAAAATTCATGGGCCTGAGACAACATCTAAATTGTCGGGCCCTTTTTTTAAGCCTAATAAGTACACTACTGTACATATGACAGGGCCCAGGACAATACTACAGGTTGCCCCACACAAAATACTTTAGTTTTACCATCTTTTTTTCTTTTCTTGCATCTCCTTCATTCTTTGCTTTCCCTTTTCCCACTTCTCCTACACTTAGGGAGAGGAAGTTCCCTCCCCCTCCAACAGGAAGTCTTGTGTGAGTGGAACTGGAATGATAGGACACCCGGGAAACAAGCTGTCACACTGCAATACTCTCTCTCTCACACACACACACACATACACATTCATATACACAAAAACTTTCATGGAAACACTCTCTGAATAAATAAACAACAGACATACACACAGTGCATGCAAGTAGACAAACATGAGCCTCTAGACAAACCTGTACAGTAGACACACATACAGTACAAGACCAAAATTAGAGAGAAACAGAGAGATGAAGCGGTAAAGAGGGCGAGAGAGAGAAGACAATAGCTAAGTGTATCCTGGGAACAGTAAGTCAGGTGTCACAAACACAGCTGCTTCCTTTTTCCACATGATGTCAATTTCCTCCAGAGTGAGATTCCACGAACAGGCCTTTCATGAACAGGCAGTATTTTAGCCTTGATGCTTTCGAAAAACAAAATATTTGTACTTTTTTCCTCTGAAAAATCAATTGATTCTTTTTATTTTATTTATTTAGTCATTTAGCAGACGCTTTTATCCAAAGCGACTTACAAATGAGGACAATAAAAGCAGTCAAAACTAACAAAAGAGCAACAATATATAAGTGCAAATGACAAGTCTCGGTTAGCCTAACGCAGTACACGTAGCAAGGTGCGCATATATACATATATATATATATATATATATTATACACACACACACACACAAAGAAAAACAAGTAGTTAGAATAGAAAAAATAGAAAGCTAGTTCTAGCTAGTTTTTAATGAAACCAATTGTGGATTCTCCATTTTTCCACTAAACAGAAGGTTGTGAAATTCATCTGATTCAACTAAAATAATATGAGACGGACACTAACAGACAAGAAACCTTTGCAAACAACATAATTTAGCACATTTTATTATCTTATTCTAACACTCATCCTGCACAAAAACACCAGGTGACGCCGTCAGTACTGAGCTATTCACAAAAGAGCTAAAATGTTTAACCAAGACTTTAACTCAGTCAGTTTTAACATATCACATTTTGGACAATTTTACCGGACAGCCGCACCCACTTCCTCCCATAGCGCCAGGGGAGAGCAGCCAGGAAGTGGCCTTGTACAGAACAGGAAGTGATGAAGCCTATGGCCTAATCTAGTCCTAGAGACATTCCATTCTGTTTTTCGCTCTAGGACAAACTCACGGCTATTTGATTCAATTTGATTTAAACTACATAAAACATTTTAATGACACTTTCACTTATTATGAAAAGAGTTCAACAGCAAAAGTGCTCACGATTCCCATCATCAGTCCAGTCTTTCCTTTGCTATTTCACTTTAGATTGCCAAACTGGAGCGGAAGATGCCTGATATAGTCCTCGACATACACCAAAATTAACAAATGAACCAAAGAATCAAAATGACAGAAACGGTTTAACACTCACAGTGAGAAAAAAAAAGAAGATAAAACTAGTAGAAAAGCAGCCAATATTACTAGATGAACGGCACATATATCTAGATATAGCATCAGAGACTGAAGCTCTGAAACCAGAGCGGCAAACTTCTCATTTTTGTGTTCTCATTATCATGCTTTCCATCTAATTTGGTTCATTCACTCAGCTTTAGCAGATACAAACTGGTTGCATAATGCAAACAGCAAAAGCTGAATAAAGAATGCAAAGCACTGCAAAGAATGCACCTGCTGCCGATTCCTTTGCTCATCCAACTCATTTAAAGGTTTCAGATCATCTCAGCTCTCACTTTCACCCCTCACAGTGTATCTCGACCTTCTTTGCCTCTCACTTGTGTAGACAGAGTAGTCAGCAGACTCCCTAGGGGAACTAACAGCTTCCATCTAACCCAATATAACCATTCACAGCACTCTTGAAAATTATTTACACTTAATTCCCGCTAATTAATATATATATATATATGTATATATATACACACACACACACAAATTAAACAACTCAAACCCTAAATGCATCACTAAAAAAGCGTTTATTCCCGTTAGCACCCGCTGGATGTCACTAAACAAGTTAATTTCTCATAGACCCTCGTATATGAACCTGCCACTGACATTTGGCACTTAAGTAAAAAGACTTCTTATTTCACATCAATTTCTTATTACCAAAAGCAACTGTTAGTAAGTAAACTGCGTAAGCAAGAGTAAATCATTCCTACCTTTATGAATGTCTAACACGCTGGCAGTGACAGAGGTGGATCAGGCACAGACACAGGAGTCGGTGCGGCGGTCAGCCGGCCGCGGATGCGCTCGCCCGAGTCGCGCGGTGTCCGGAAGCGCTGAATTCCGCGCGCACTCTGCGCCAGGCTAAGCGCGAGCGACTCCACCTCCTGTCAGCACTGAGCTGCACACTTCTACATATTCAAGTTATTTCCGGGAAATTATATTTGTTTGCTGAATGCTTCACACAGTACTGACGTTTTACCACCGAAATAGAGCGTTATGTCTTGTCTCATATCGACAACCACAGGTGACACAAACATTTAGTCCGTTTTAAGGAAGTTACTAATAGTAGTTGGCATTTTCATAGAAAAAGGCGTGGATAATTGACTGTAGCAAACATATTAATGCGATAAAATATTCAAGACATCATGGCTGTGTTTTAAACACTACTATCAGGTACCTGCGCTGATTTGGATGTTGCAAAGTCCTCTTTGATGTTAGTAACTTGCTACCGGAAAATGTTTCTTGTTCGTTACTGACCCCTGGTGACTGTTTGGTGGTAGTGCAGTTCTTCTTCTTCTTCTTGATGTTTAATGGCGGATGGTATACAACTTTTAGGTGCATTAACGCCACCTACTGATTAGGAGTGTGGATCAGGACTGTAATCTTCACTAAATTCTATTATATAATCCCGTGTCCTTTAAATAACGCATTAAAAATTATTCCCCAAAATGTTGGTAGTGCAGTTCTGCCTGGCACCAGCGAATGTAGATATCCATGGTGTTACGCTGAAAAAATTTTTTTCGAGTTTATTGAACCTTCCACGATTAGGGTACAAAGTTTGACCTTAAACTCGGAGGTGCTTACTTTTAAGAAAGTTATGTTGTCAATTGAGCGGTTGTTTTCTTTTCTCTTTTCTTTTTTGCAACATCAACTTGTCAAATGTGTAAATAGTCTTTTAGATTTTATTTGTGTTTAGTTTTACAACATTAGATAAAATAACGACAATATGTATACAATAAAAAAGTTCCAACGTTATTATAAGCAATTTTTGTTGGTAATTTTATGTTAGATAACAGTTTATCAAGCATATTTGGGGGCTCACAAAAAATATGCCTTTAGTCAAAAAAAAAAAAAAAAATCATGGGACATGTGGCAAAAGTGCATTTGTGGAATTTGCCTTGTGCACATTATATACAAAGAAATGAATCAAAACAGTAATGTCATAGTAAAATATTTTATTATACATAAAAATGCACACCAACAACAAAATGTTTTTTTTTTCATCCATCTTACCCCACATTAAATCAGCTCTCAATCTGAGAGAGAAATAGGCAATGTAGAGTTCTTAGTGTCAAACTCATATAAACATTCATCAAAACGCACAAACATACAGAACACAATACTGCAGCAGGGCAAAGACACATTCACAGTATGATAAAAGAAAGACCACAACGACAATTTACTCATAGGACACGTGCAAAATTCGCTGCCTCCAAAATCCAATTATGATCCAGTAGCAGCTGATCAACCAGCCTAAATAAGCCAAAAATATTGCAAAGAAAAGAGAAAATGAAACTAAATTGCTCTTAAGCCTTCGTGCTTTTAAAGTGTGTTTGTGTGCAATTTGTGTGTTAACACACGCTACAATCAGAGCATAGTAGTGTATACAGGTCATCCCTTGTTTTAATGCTCTTGTGCGCATATTAGGTCATGTAGCGTGTAATTGCTCTGAGAGCATAAAGTAAAGCTGCCTGCAGTCGAGCCTCCATCAGTAACAGGTTCACATGGACCTAGATAAAAGAACAAAACTTCTTAAATAAGAAATAAACAGGCAGTTTTACTACCCCTAATTGATAAATCCACTTGTGAAGTTAAGGTCACCATAACATTATCCAACAAAGCAACCACAATTAAATGGTCACAATTATGTTACAACATTTAAAAGGAGTTTGTAGTCTGTCAAAAAAAGTTTAACCACTAGAGGCCACTAAAACATTACTCCAAAATGCTAATTAATTCAACAATTCAGAAAACAGAGAGAGCAAGCATAATTCAAGTACCACTGCTGAAGCAAATGCAAGTTATTAAAATATGAACACACTTGAATCATAAACAAGAAATCTCACACATCTTGTACCTTTTCTGAGTGGCGGAACTGCCTCCAAAAAGAGAAGTACATTCTTGGTGTGGTTTTCTCCGGGTGACAAGCCACTGTCTTAACGTACACTTTTAAACTGCGTTCCAACAGCTGGTTGACTTCCCCATAATTGTAATCATCATACCTGTGTAGGCGAACAATGACATGCAAGTGCACATTAGAGCACATTAGATTCACATTAGAGCAATTTTAGAATTTTAACCACCAAAAGTAATGCATTTTATGTCTACCTTTTTCCTCATAATGTGCAGTCTTTAAATATGATTATAACTAGGACTGCTTTTCCTTCTTATATAAACATAACCCTAACCCACTCTTTGTCCCATACGGCTGAACGTCCTAAGGTCGTTTCATGGCTATGATGCATGCATGACTGACCTGATGCCGTAGATGCAGTGAATGTAGTTCCAGATGGCTTTGCGGAGTGTGGAGGTGTCCACGTGCGAGTGCATGGCCATGGTGTGATACGTGAGCGCACACACCACCTGAAATTTCTCATCCAGAAGCTGTGCCATCTCTCCATACAGCCTGTTCATAAGAGAGAAACCGTGATCTTCCCACGAATAGTCCTGAAAGCACAAAATCATATGTAGAGATCATGATATAACCAGTGCTGTTATTGTTAGCTAAAACTATTAAAAGTAGTTTTCGGTAATTGAAATAAAGCTGAAATTAAATATAAATATTACATGAAAAACCTAAACAAAAATTAGAAATGTTGCCTTGGTGACTAATTTAAACAAATATGTTTAAGTTGAAGCATTAAAAGGTGTAAGACTAGAACAAAAAATAGCAATATTTAGCTAAACAGAAATATTTTAAAACAAACAGAAACTAATAAAAAAAAAAGAAAAACAAACGCATAAAAATTACTAAAAGCTGAACCAAAATTAAAGTGAATATATAAAAATAGAAGATAAATCAAAATATAAATATGGAAACAGTATAATACTAAAATAACACAGATAAAACAACATATAATACATATTATATACTTTTAACAAAAATAATGCCTTCTATGCATAATTGTTATGTTGTTGAGAATATACAAGAGTATTCAACCTGAGCTCTCATGGTTGGGGGGGCCTGCACTCCTCTAGGACTAAAATCCTGGTAAGTAAAATCTGCATCCACAACAAACCTCGAAAAACAATCAGGAAGGACAGAACGCTGTACTGTAAGGGATAAAAAAAATATGACACAGGTCAGGCAGTGAAAAAAGATGTGAAACATCCATTAAAAGTTATTTAAATAGTTCAACTTAGGGCATTCAATGTCATAAAATTTGCTCAGGAAAGCCCAAAACTTCACTTGGTGGCAGCCAACACAAATGTAATAAAATTTAATGTGATTTATGAGATGTACTATAATGTGCAGAAACTACAACAGAAGACTATTTTGACCCAGGAGAAACCCTGCCACTGGGTGTATTGAATTATGCATATGTGTGTTCATACCATCAGCAAGTTCCAGCAAACTCTCAGTCCTTTCTCTTTCAAAGCGAGTAACCATCTCTTCTTGTGTAAACTCTTCACCTTGCTGCTGAACTATCATCATCTTCTCCATCAAGAGCTTAACCTCGTTCACAGCCTCAGACCACTGCGCACAGACAAATCAAAGAGATTTGCCTGAGCAAAACAAACTAAATATTCTCTTTTACTTATGATCGATACATCAGTCACAATTCAATACCTCTTGCTGATTTCTGGCCGTGTCTCGGGCACAACAGGACTCTGTGGGTGAACACATTTGGAGAGACTCATCTCCTGACTGCTCGGGCTCTGGGAGAACACCACAACCCCAAACAAATGAGGCCAGAGAGTGGGCATGGCTCATCAATACAATAGCCTGAATCAGTTCTGCCAGGGACCACCGAGCCTCAGCACCAGGACAAACTAACGCCTGTGAATATAGAAGATTTTTTCTAAGAACAAGTTTCTTTATAAATAAGTAGCAGTACAAAATAAGCGTCGACTGCACAATACAATACATATAATTTTTTTTAAATAATGAGTTGTATTTATCTTTCTGTTATAAACGAAAATGAATCTTTAGTCATTAAGTTTCATCTTTGTGTTTTGTCAAAATTCAGAGATTTAGAAAGATGGTATGAAAAAAAAAAAATTTTAATGTTGGGTTATGGAAATCTGTAAAACGCGATGCAGAACAATCACTTAGAGCATTAACTTATAAAGCATAAAACTGTGATGAACTCACAACAAGAAAGACGGCACACACACACACACAAAAAAAATAAAAATAAAAATAACAGCAATAACAGTAGACATAAACACATGTATTGTACAAAGCAGTCAACTCTGTTTTTTTTTGGCACAAAGAGAACGCCAGTTTTTGGAAACAGCCTTCCAAAATGAACCGACAGAACAAGATGACAAAGAATACATATCAAAATATAATAATAATAGTAGCAATTCTACTAGCTATTATAACTACATTTTGAGTAGCATAGCTCTAGTTCAAAATACTGTGGCATTTCCAGTAACAAATTTTTTTTTTTTGAAAAATGCTAAATCACTGAACTTCTATTTTTTGTATATGCAGCTAATTCACTTTAGTGAATTCACAAAACCGTTAAAAAGAATGATAAATGTTAAAAAGTAAAATAAAAAATAAAATATTTAATTCCGTTTAAGGCTGTCACCCTAATACAGATGTTTATGTTCTAAATAAATGCCTAATTGCAGAATTAATTTTCTGAAATCAAAATTATAAAGATATTGCTAACTTCTTTTTGTTAGCAACTTGTAGCAGTTATATCCACCTTATTTTTCAATGTGGAAGTAAGATGTTTTCTGTGAATGTGTGAGAATTCACAGTTCATTAGCCGCTGTAGGGAAATAGCGAGAAGAATAACAAAGTGCAGTAAATGGTAAAACTGGTTGCACTACAAACCACAGTGTTCATAATTAAGATAATACATTAAAATAATATGTTAAGACACACCAGTTTGCAATATCAAGCAGCAAAACAAGCTGTTTTAAACATTTACAAATGGCCGTGCCCACTCTTATGGGAAAAATAAGGTGGATACCTTTTAAAAAGTGTTGCTTGACCGTCTACTTCAAGTTTCCACTTGTCACTTAGAAATTATGGTTTCAGAGTAGCTTCCCCAAAACTGATGATCTGTGCTTTTTACCTGTATATGTTCCTGGGTGATGATCCAGGGTCTGTGTGCAAGCAGTTTGTTGAGTGTCTGCAGGTGCTGTATTTTGGGAGGTGCACAGTGAAGTCCTCTAAGCCAGGACTCATCTCCACCAGCAAGAAGAAAAGCAGAGCTGTGATGCTGCACCAGGTACGAGCACTGGTGACGTGCAGACGCCTGCACAGACACAGAAAATTACTGTTGTGTTGATTATAAACATATACTCATTTGTGTTTAAAACTTGCAATCTAAAGGTACCAAGTTTCTTCCCTTACCAATATGATTATAAAATGTCTCCATGACAGAGGCAGAGGGCCATCCAGCTGGAGCAAAGCACTGTGGGTCTGCAGAAAACAGGTCAGGTAGGTGGGATGTAGCCCCATCATCGTGTTGATATGGTCTACACGTCCCTCTGACAACAGAGCCTCTGACATCACTTCCTGTGCTGCCCCTTCCTCTAGAATCTGAAACAAACAGATATGTAGAGAACACAGTTTTGTTCTGTAAGCACTGACAACAATATTATATTTATCATCTAAAGATACGCTCACATTTACTGTTGCTAAGTGAAATTTTGCAGGCAAAATCAAGGCATGTCAATAGAAATCTTCTCGTTCTCCACGCAGATTTTGCTCATGTTTAAGATGCTCATGTGAATTTGCCGCACTAACAGAAAGCTGCTTAATTTGAAAGTGACTTCTGTGTAAACAGTGTTTCAGACAGTGTGCTAATGTGAATGCACCTTGATCTCCCAAACCTTTCTGTCAGCCAAACCTCTTTTACCTAAAATATTTACCTGAAATACCCCCTGGGTTTTGAGTTAATATTTCCATAATTTAACAAAGCATTTGCACGTTCACAGTCCTCTTATGTCAGTTTACGGTCACATGACATGCAAGAAAAATAAAGTATTTCATTTCTATTCCAAACGTATTTATTTCTCAAATTTTTAAGATTTAATTATTAGCTTTTCACCAAAACACAAAGCTACTGCATTCATTGGATGTAAAGACAAATTCCACAAACAGGCATGTCAAAAAACAACACACACCTCTTCAATTGGGATAAAGGCACTGGGCCCAGAGGGCAACGCCTGGGGTAGGTCAACTCCTGCTTCCTCCTGAGAAAAAGAAAGGGTGACAATAGACACTAATAAAGATACTGAAAATATAAAGCCCTTTGTTGTCCAGTTGAATAGTTTTGAAAAAATATTAAGCCTATCAGAGAGATATTAATGTGCAATGCATTATCATATAACTGGCACCAAGCTATCAGTATTCCAGTAAATGCTGATAACATGTTTAAAAACCATTCAGCAGTTCTTTACAACATCGTGCGGTTTATTAAAATCAACAGTTTTTTATACGTTGATAAAAATGTCATACAATCAAGTCATACACATATTTCATACATTTTATGAAACATTTCTGTTTGTTTTGTTGTTTTTTTTCGCCTCAAACTGTTCACCCCAAATTCTGTTATCAACTCATTTATCGGTTGTCCGAAGGAAATGGTTCTTGGTTCAGTGAATCAGTGAGTTGTTAACGCGAAACGGTTCGGACCGATTCAGTCCGATTCGTAAATTTAAAAAATCATCAAGTTAAAAAATCATCAAGTTTGGCATTAATAGATTAATTAACAGATTAACTGGATACTTAAATGAACATCGCTGGCTCAAATGGACCTTTAATGACTCACAATATGAAGACTTTAACGAACACATCAAATGATAGCTCAGGTAGAGCATCTACTGTAAACTTTATCCGTGAGCCGTATACAAACAGACTAGACGCCGGCTCACCGACACGGTCATAAGAAGACTCGGTCACATAAAGGAACTCACCTTCATCTGAAGAATGCAAGTGTTCAGAATTCACAGGTTTAACCCAATAATGATGCTGGAAAGTCTCGGAGGGTTTGCGCTCTATGACTTCATTGCGCCTGTAGTCTTCTGGAAAGCAGGAAACGGCAGCGGGAGGAGGCGTGGCGTACGTGAACACACAGCGCCGGACTCTTGCGTCACCTCTCCGGCGCAGCATGACGCAACCCGCCGGTAACGGAGATCAGAGCTCCCGGCCCCAGCTGTAACCGGGTATACTGTGCGGACATCATACATGACCTGCCGGTTTGGTGCTGCTGTATGGACAAAACTGTGAGCGAGTCATCTTGACATAGCTTAGGTAAATATGACAATGTAGAAGTCTTGACACTTTCATAATAGAAAGTGAATGTTAAAGGGGTCATATGATGCGATTTGAAGTTTTCCTTTCTCTTTGGAGTGTTACAAGCTGATTGTGCATAGATAAGATCCCTGAAGTTGCAAAGACTAAAGTCTCAAAACCAAAGAGATATTCTTTATCAAAGTTAAGACTCTGCCACGCCCCCCTAAAACGGCTCATTCTAACACGCC